AGTATGTTTCATACATATGAAACTCTATTACCTTACTCTATTTAAGATGCACTGCTTGCACCACTGTACTTCATTTTTGTCCTCTTCTTTGTTATAACAAGCTACATGCATATAACAAACACGAGAGAACAGATCAGTGGTTTAATGGATCTTCTTGGCAGTATTGTTCAGATTCAAATTGTCTGAATAGGAGAAGAGATAAAACTCTCACAACTCATTCAGGAGACCTCTATCCCATTGAAAGTCCTGACAATCTTCATTCTGTTGCACCCCCACTAGCAGAGAAACCCTCTACTACACCATTGTACCTTACACCCACTGTAGCATCTTCTAGCAGAAGTTAAACTACCCCCACACCTCACACTTTGCCACTCCAGTTAACCACTACACCTCTACCAAGCAAGTCAGTGGGCAACACCCCCACAGTCAGACCTAGTTTCCTTTCCAGATTATTTGATTCTCCCAACCCGGTTAATCCACCACTCCCATCTGAGTCCCAACCAGTTCCTGTTCAGTTGGAACCCAAACTAGAATTGTTAAGGGACCTAACGACTGAGGATCAGGAGTTCAACTGTTAACTGGTACTAGGACTTATACACGCTATAGTCCTACTGATACTAGAGTTGCAAACTGAGCTGCTATATCTGATAGCGGTTTGAGAGCATATACTGATTGAAGCAGAGCTTCAGACTAAGACTGAATAGATAACTGAGTCTATTACTGAAGACATCCCTATGAAGTATATGTAGGGAACAAGAGAACAAAACTAAAGTACAGTAGCAGAAGCAGTGCTACTTAAATAGGATGAAGCGAATAGAGTTTAATAAGTATGAAACACTGAGTTGGATCAGTGATGTGACAGAACAGTTTTCACTGGGTTGTATCAGTGATGAGGACAAAACATGATAGAGATGAAATGTGATGTAAGTGAAACATGACATAGATGAAACACAATAGATATGAAACACTGATGCAGGTGAAACACATCAGGTGATGGAATCAGTTGTACAGTTACAGGGTCAACAACAAATAGTTAGGAAAGAAAAATAGCCCCCCCTTGAAGCTGTAACAGGAATTACCCAACTCACCAGTTATCTCTGATCCAGAAGAGGAAGACACGTCTGGAAGGCAACCACACAATCCAGACAACAGTGAACCAGAACCTAGTGACCAAGAGGAAGAAGACAATATGTTAGACAATAAAAGCAGCACAGTAAACAAGCCTAACCAGTTTGAAGGAGATAAGAGAAAGAACAAAGAATTCTTTGACAGATTATACCTGTACTTTTTAGGAAATTCCAAGCAAATCCAATCTGATGTGGACAGAGTCCATTGCACATTATCCTATATTGAAGGACCAGCCCAATCTTTGTACATAAGATAATCACCAACATAGAAGAACCCATCTCCAAATCAGAAGATACACCACTCAAAGGGCTTCCTACCTGGGCAGAATTCAAGAAATCCTTCATTCAGACATTCAGAGTAGAGAATGACACACAAGCAGCATTGAATGAAATCAGCAAATGTACCTGGACAAAATGCAATGGGAATGGTCTTCAATTTGTTGCCACCCTTTGACCCCTATTACAAGCTAGTGGGTTAAACAAGTTAGGAAAGATCTGAGAAATCCAGCATCTTGTTCCTCTAGCTCTCCTAGTCACGATCACTGCTCAACCACTGTTACCTACTACAGCTGTGGGATATCTCAACAGGATATCTCAACAGAATCCAATCGATCTGTCAATCTATAATTGATATTTTTAGGGATAAACTATTGTTCATGCCTTCATCTGGTCACAACAAATTTGTATGTTGCAACCAAGCAATTGAAACCAGAGAAGGACCTCCAAAGGGATCCCAAGCTAATGATCAACAGATCAGATGTCTATCAGATAAGGAACACTGAGAGCATATGGAAAAGAAGCTCTGTTTTAGATGTCACAAACCTGGGCATCTGAGTTGTCAATGTCCCAATAATCATATTAGAGCAATCAAATCTCATGACACATCCATTCAGGATAACAAAGAAGCAAAGGATTCATCTGAAGAAGAAGGGATAGCTGAGGAATACATTCAAGCCATCCACTCTGGAGAGAAGGATTTTTAGGATCTTTGACTGCCATGATGTTGAGTCAAAGTATTGGCACTAGGGACTATTTATATTAGGCACAATTAGCTCATAAATCTATTTATCTGCCCTGTATATTGGAAACCTGTGCCAAAAACATTACAACCAAAGCCTTGCTCGACACAGGAGCAATGAACAATTACATAGATATTCAGTTTGCCCAAGATCATGGTCTCAAGCACTAGAATATTCCACCTTGACCAGCATTTAATGTCGATGGATCACCAAATAAAGCAGCATCCATCAAACATAAGGTCTTCTTAACCCATCTCCTTATCCAGACAGCTGATGAAGATAGAAGCATATGCAACAGTACTGGACAGGAATCCACTCATTTTAGGACTTTCATGGTTCAAGTACTTGAATCCCATAATCAATTGGATTATGGGACAAATGCGTTTTTGTTGGGATCAACTTCTGTGAGCAATCAAGACCATTGCTAGCAATATTCCAGAGTATTTAGCCACCTTTCTTTCCGTATTCAACAAAAGTACTGCAGAATGTCTGCCAGAGCAAAAACCATGGGATCATGTAACAGATTTGGTACCCAATTTCAAGTCTCAATGAGGAAAAGTCTACCCACTATCACCAGCAAAACTCAAGGAACTGGATACCTTTATTGAGGAAAACCTACAAAAAGGTTATATTTGCCCCTCTAAGTTTCCCATGGCATCACTATTCTTCTTTGTTAACAAGAAATCAGGGGATTTACGCTCATGTCAGGACTATCGGAAACTCAATGATGCTACCATCAAGAATGCTTATCCTATTCCACATGTGGAATATTTATCAGATCATTTTGCTTCTGCCAAACCAACCATCTTTACCAAACTAGATTTGCATGCCAGATACAACAATGTATGTATCAAGGAAGGCAATGAATGGAAGGGAGCATTCATTACTCCACAGGGATTATTCGAACCCACAGTCATGTTCTTTGGAATGACAAATTCTCTGGCCACCTTCCAAGCTATGATGGATGGAGTTTTTGTGGATCTATTACTGGAAGGATGGCTAGTAATCTATTTTGACAACATCCTTATCTATTCTACCGACCCAACAGAACACTGACAATGGACCCAAGCAGTCCTGCAGTGTTCAAAGGAATCAGATCTTTTTCTCAAACCAGAAAAATGCTTCTTTGATGTGTCAGAAGTGGAATTTCTGGGACTCATCCTTTGACCTGGAGACATACCAATGGTATGGCAGAAGACAAGGTGGCAGCAGTACTCAATTGGCCAAAGATTGATAGCATTAAAGATGCATTAAATCAAGCATCAAACAGAATATCTCTACTATGTTTCACCCTCAAACTGATGGACAGTCAGAATGTGTCAACCAGGACCTGGAGCTATACCTTCGGATCTTTTGCAATCACCATGCAACAGATTGGATGCGTCACCTGCCATTGGCAGAATTCACACATAGCAATAGGTATCGTGATGCAATCACAACATCACCCTTCCAAGCACTTATGGATTATTGACCCGAACACAATATTCCCACTGTGGGAACAATGGATGCTCCAGATATTGCTTCTAGACTTACTCAGTCAGCTCACCTTTGCATGGAAATTCAATCCAGCATTCAATTAGCAGAAGAAACAGTCAAGAAATGAAACAAGGACAAGTTTGTTGAATATCAACCTGGACAGAAAGTATGGTTGGAAGCAACTAATCTCAAAGGACTTCATCCAAAAGCAAAACTTGGCCCAAAGCACTATGGTCCTTTCACCATCAATCAGAAACTGTCACCAGCAGTTTACTGACTAAAACTACCACCCAAATAGAAGATTCATCCTGTGTTTCACATGAGATTACTCTATCCTTTTCAAGGAAACTTACCTCACTAACATCCACATTAAATGCTGCCCCATCACCCCCATCCTTGACAAAACTCCAGAGTGGCCCACACATGGAGTACAAGTAACATCCCCAGTTAACCTAAACCCTATCCCATTTATTGATCTACTCAGTGGTGAACCAAGTTGCCCCACTTGCAACTGCTGCTCTTGTTGTTGCCAACAAACATCCCCACCTCCTTCTCCTAGCCCTCTTAGGGCTATTCCTCCTCTCCCTCCTTTCAACCCTTGTCCTTGCCCTCATCATTCCCCTCACACTGCGCATTGTCATTCAACACCTAGAGTGCAAACACCAGTGGGCATACAACATCACCACCACCGTGCAACGCCCCCTCCTGCATACAACAACAAACCTACCTGTCATTGCAGCCAACTGGGAGTCTAACAATTGCAATCAAGTATACTTTGAGTATATTAGGAATGCTCAAGATTAGTGTCTCTGGGGTGATTTTGTCTGTAGTAGTTGCCTGTTTTTGTATTCTGGTCCTGGTCTTTACTAAAAAATCCTTTTCTGGTGTCTTCCCATGCCCGCCAAATGAAACAACAACACAAGAACCAACAATGCAGTTCTTCCTACCTCTGATCTACACCATCACCCTCTTTCTCCTGCTAGAAATAATTCTCATGCATTTGTGGGGCAGAGACCACCAATGCCCTTTCATATCCAGACCCTCAAAGAATGCTTTAATACTGGAATAATAGAAATGCCGACCCTGGTGCATCCCATTTTGCGCTTCCCTTCTAAGCAGAACTCGGATTCTCCCACCTTGGAATTTCTCAGTGAAGGAGGATTCAGGTACCTAATCAATTCTCTATTTGAGCCCAATCAACACCTGTTCCTAGGCCCAGTCCCTTCAGGATCTTCCAATGATGATGCTGTTGTCCTACATCAATTCTCTGGCCCTATGATAGATCTACCCCAGGACATTTCTGAAGTGTCTACCAGATCGTACCATGCTGTCCCTATACTTTTCTACCCACCATCTTTGCCCATGAACTTCACATCCTCTCCTGATGTTACAGCTTAGAGGGGGGTTTCTTTTCTTTTCCTAACTATGCGTTGTTGACCCTGTACTATACAACTGATCCCATCACCTGATGTGTTTCA